GACATCTATAGAATACTGCACCCCAGAAAATCTGAGTACACATTTTTCTCAAATCCACATGGGTCATTCTCTAGGATTGACCACATGCTGGGTCACAAGATAAACATCAATAGATACACTATAGATACAGACAAACCATCAGTGTTAGACATAAACAATGTAGGTGTGGGATTTAAAAAATGTAGTGAATACTAGGTTCATTCTTTATAGAAATAAGATTTTAAAACAAAGGCAATTAACATTGCAATATATAAAATTATAGACATAAATTAAACGATAATTTAATAATGAAAATTCAACAAGGGGGGGGCAAAATAAAATAATTTGGAAAATTATTTTGTCATTTTGCTTGGTAAAATATTAATTTTAATATATCCTAATATTTAAATATATACTTTAAAATACAAAATAATTATATCTTCAATATTTTGGTAGCTTTTCTTTGTAATTTTAAAAGGAACTTTTAGAAATTAATATCCCTGAAGGTTATGCTACATTGATCTAAAATTCAACAGTCCCTCTACTATTACATATGTTTTTATTTGGTGGACTCTAAACAAAATAATAAATGTAATTATCTTTATAATTATCTTTACCTATTTATAATTTTATATCTATCTTTATGCATATAGTATATATATATATATATATATATATATATATATATATATATATATATATATATGGTCCTCTCTTTTATACAATTTATCTACCCAGAATTCTGTCTATATAACTATAAAGAGATAATTTTTTATTTTTTTAGCTATCTGTATACTAGAATTTGTCTTTCCATTCTTTCTTACTGCTTGAATGCTTATAAGCGCAATTTTCCCAAGAAGAACTATAGTAAAAAAACAAAGAATAAAATACTAGAGAATCTTCATAGTTCAATAAGCTGCTGAGATGTTCCAGTAGTAGAAATGATACAAGCAAGAAAAGAGGAGATAATTACAGGGGCAAGCCAGTGTTTAAAAATCCAGAAGAACAGTAGAGTTGAAATGTGATGTAGAGGTGTTTAACCATGGTTATGACAATCTAACAGTGACCTAAGTGACAGCAACTGGATTACTGGTAACTGGGACAAAATCCAGAAGAGTGCTATAAAAAAAAATTATTATGCATAAATTAAAAGTATTAATTTTAAGTTAATCAGTTAATTATTAAATATAAATTGTTTATACCTAAAAAGTACAGAGGTAATAATTAAGCTGTAGTAAGGTTAAGTAAGAAGAACTTCTATCACAGCAACCTTATTTACTTTTTTCTAATTAGGGACTGCAGGATGTACTAAAATCATATAAGTATAATTATCTGAGTTAAGAAAGGAAAAAGTTTGCAATAGGAACATACATTTCATACTTATGATCTAGTGGTCTGGGAGTTTGCTGATTTTCAGACTGCCAAATTTCCTTCAATGCCTAAGACTTTGGTTCCAATACATGAGAACCAAATGATTTCAGAAGAATGTAACATCAGACATAATGTAAATGGAATGATAGAGAGAACAATAACTCTTTCATCTTAATATTTTTGAATACAGTAAAACATTGTCAATGAGTATGTTTTTCCTTTTCAACCAACTCTTCATAATTTTAATAAATGACAAAGCTACTTTTTTATATACTCAAATTGATTTTCTTATAAGGGATAAAGGTGTTAATGAAATGTCAATGAGTAAAAAAGTGTAAGCAGGGACACAAGGGAATGAACTTGAAAAATTAAAAATAAAACATCAAAAGTGGTAATTCTATTATGCCTGTCTTAAATGTTTTTCCCACAAAAAATTACCTTCTTTTTTCTCTGCCACCCATGCATTCAGTTCTTGTATTGTTGCCTTGTCAACACACATATGTACTTTAAGTGTATCCAATTCTTCTTGAAGATTCATCCTATGAAAATTAACACACTAGGTAATTATTTGAAATCTGCAAGAAATCATGTAGAAGCAAACAAAAGGATTAAAGATATTATTTACAATAATATTTAGTAAGGGAATATCAACTTTAAATAAACATGCTAAAGACTGTGATTAAAAACTCAAACTGAAATATCTGTCCACTATTTAACACATAGGGTATGTAAAATTGTAACGAAAATTTTATACCACTGAAAGCAAAATAGTAAATCTCTAGATACCAAGTTAAGGCAAAGAACCCTTACTAAAAATTCATTGAACCATGGTTGAGAGAACTGGTTCAAATATGGACCATAGAGATAATCAGATCTTGAGTCTGGAATGAGGTCAGAAATTTATGCCAAAGGCTGACAGACCAAAACTAAGATAAATGCAAGAAGCTGATAGACAAAAATTTGTTGAATGTTAACCTGAATCCCTCAGCTATCTGACTGGAGTTTTTCAGAAAATAGGTTTTCTGCCCTAGTGAGATCAAAATCCTAAGCCTGTATTACATATTTCAAAATTGAGCCATATACAACTGCAACGATCTGAAGAATTGACACTAATGTACAATTTTTTGTTATAGATAGTATATATATATATATTTGACTTAAGAGCTCATCTACTATGGAATGGTTTATACAACTGAGAGAATGGATAGTAAAAAAATCATTATTGAAAATAATTCTCAGAGTAGTCAAGTTTGCAGATAAAAATAAATTCTTAAGTTCAAAGCCATGAATATACAGTCTATGTATCATTTCACCCCAAATGGGAAAAGGCATAACAAGGATATAAACAATAGAACAATTCAAAATGAGTTAAACAAAATTAGAGCTTTTAATATACTGGAAGAAAAAGTGGTGATAAATGTGCTTTAAAGAACAAGAGTTTCTGAAGAACTGAAGACAAGTGAAAAAAAGAAACAATGTACATAGACACAATAAAAATAAAACTAAAATTCAAAATGACAGTTCAAAAGATAAGTGAAATTCTTCCCGTAGAATAAATGATTCTTATATAAAAGGTGAGAGGGAAGTTAAAATTGCAAGCTTTGGGGCTCTTCCTGGTGTTGCAACAGGTTAAAGCACCATTATGAGGCTCTCCAAAGTCACTGCAGCACAAGTTTGATCCCCAGCCAGGGAGTTGACCCACAGAGGTCTGGCGTGGTGGACCTCTTCTGACCTGCCTGCTGCTACCCTCAGCAGTGTGTTTTGTCTATCTGCCTGTTCTGCTCCCTACTCTGTCTCTGGTGAATCCTCTTACCCACCACATCTCTGGCCTGTACCCCAGTTCTGTAAGCATAAGTAAATAAATCTTTTTAACCTTTGGAAATTGTTCAAATATTAGCAGCTACCAGGTCAATATAGATCAACATGTACATAAAATCGTATATCTGAACCATACAGTAACCAGAATGCAAGACACTATAGTAAAAACACATGCAAAATTATTAAAATAAAACTTAAAATCACTATTAAAATACACATACATAAGGGCCCTTGCTGGTGGTAAAACAGGTTACAGCACAGCATTATGAAGCTCTCTGCAGTCACTGCAGTGCAAGTTCAATCCCTGGCCAATGAAGTGCCCACATGGTCTGGTAGATCTCTCCTGACCCAACCCTTGCTCCTCTCAGCTGTGTATTTCAGTCAATTTGCCTGTTCTGCTCCCCACGCTGTCTCTGGTGAATCCTCTTGCCCCCTGCACCTCTAGCCTGTACCCCAGTTCTTATATGCATAAATAAATAAATCTTTAAAAGATAGATATATATCAAACCTCAAGGGGAGAGAGAAGAAATTAAAAAGAACAAATAATATCTAAGAATACAACCAGATCAATAAGCAAAATGACAATGAATAAACATATCAATTACCATCTTATATGTAAGTGTTCTTAGATTTTCCTCGAAGACCAAGAACAAGACAGGATACCCACTTTCATCACTATTGTGTTACATTACTAGATGTCTTCACCAGCACAATTAGGTTAAAAAAGGAAGAAATAAAAGGCATTCAGACAGGAAAGAAGTGAAATTGTCACAATGTGCAGATAACATAATATATATAGAAAATCATTGGAAAGTCACCAAAAACTGTTAAAGTAGTAAGTGAACATAGTAAAGCTGCAGAACACAAGATTAATATACAAAAACATTTCATTTCTACATGTAGACAATGGAATAGTAGATGACGAGAATAATATTATTTATAGTTGTATCAATTGTGCATTAAAATACTCAGTAAAAAAATAAAACCAAGGAACTGAGGGATCTGTACCCTGAAAACTAAGATGCTGTTGACAGAAACTGAAGGACACCACAGATATAGAAAGACATGCAGTGTTCATCAATCATATATCAAAATTATCAAAATGTTCATTTCACCTAAACAGATACAAAGATTCAACATATCTCCAACAGCAGTTTTCTTAGAAGTAGAACAAAAAATTCTACAATTTGCATGGAAGCACAAATAGCAAAAAGCATCCTCAGTTAAAAAGAACAAGAGTTGAGGCATTATGTTTCCTAACTTCTAAGTATACTATAAATCTAAGATATCAAAAAAGTATGGAATTATAGGGAATAAACAGTACAGACTAGAATAGACATGAATCAAGAACCCAGAAATATAACTACACATATAGGGAAAACTAACTGATGACATAGGAGGCAAAAGTTTATAATGAAGAAAGGAAAATTTCTTCAATAAATAGTCGGAATACTGGAAAGTGACATGAAAAAGAATAAAACTAGATCACTCTATTATACCATATTACTAACTCAAAATGCACTAAATACTTGAATATAAAACCTAAATCAATAAGATATCTAGAAGACTTAGGTAACACGCTCTCGGATAATGGGTAATGGCCTAAGTGATATCTTTATGCATTCGCCTCCAACAGCAAAAGAAACAGTAGGTTATATAAACAAATGGGACTACAATTAGTTAAGAAAGCTTCTGCACAGGAAAAGAAAATATTGCCACACACACACACATACACATACCCAAAGACTACTTACTAAGTGGGAGATTTGCTAACTATACAGCACACAAGAAATTAATATAAAAAATATATAAACATCTCACACTACTCAACAACAACAAAACATACAAGCTGATTAAAAACTGGGCAGAGAGGATCTAAACAGTCTTTTCACCAAATATGACCTATAAATGGCCAACAGACACTGACAAAAATATTTTATATCACTATCATTAGGGAAATGCAAAATAAAAATCACAAAAGAGTTCACCTCATTATCGTTTTTCTAAATCAAATCTAACATTGGTTAGAATGGCTGTTAACAAAAAGTCTAGTTATAATAGCTACTGGAGAGGACCTAGAGACAAAGAAATCTTTATGGAATGTTGATGGGAATGTAAATTGTTACAAAGACTGCGGAAAATGGCATGAATATTACTCAATAAAAACTGGAATTACCTTATGGTTCAATAATCCTATGTGGGAGAATTTAGTCAAATAATACAAAAACACTAATGTGAAAAGATATATGGAACCCCTATGTTAAGTACAGGACTATTAACAATAGCCATGATATAGAGACAACCTATGTGTCTGATGACAGTAATGGATAAAGAAGATGTGGTATTTGTGCATAATAAAATACTACTCAGCCATAAAGATGAGATAATATCTTGCTAACCCCCAAAACATAAAAGGATATTGATGAGATGTGAAGTGAAGTAAGTCAAAAGGAGAAAGACATCCTTTTAGGTACTACCACCTCAGTCATGATTATGCTCAGACCTCAGATGTTTCACCTCTGCTGTGACAAAAAGAGGGTCTGGCTTAGCCCCAAAGATACTAATGAAACTGTGAATGTCAACTCCCACCAGCAGATATGTAAGTTGATCAAAAAGTGGCTGCCTATCTTATGTTTGGAAACTGAAAAAACACCATGGCCCAATCGAAAGGCAAGCAAATTGTCATAGGTAAAGAACAAGGTATTGCCAATATTCTAATGCCAGAGAGGGTAACTTGAATGAGAAAGATGAGAATTAGATGGCTAACTAGAAGATACTGTGACTCTATTAAGATTGACTGCCACACATATCAGTCTGTACATGAAGATAAAGGGGAACATGTTTAAAAACAAGCAGATTCTCATGAAACACAACTATAAATTGAAGGTAGACAAGGTTCACAGATGCTCCAGGCTGACCAGGCTGATTCCATTGGTCTCAGACCAAGGACACTCACAAGCAGCCTGAGGAGCAGCTCCAGTTCAACAAAGGAGGGTTATCAAGACTTTATCTAAAAAAATATAAAACCAAAAAGACTCTTATCTATACATAGTGGTTTCAGCTATAAAAAGAGGGAAAAGACAAATCACAAATCACAAAGAATTGAAGGCAAATATTCAAACTAGTACATGAACACGAATATTCACTTGTGGCACTATTCAAAATAGCTGAAAGTAGACCCATCCATACATCCATCAACTGATGAATGAGTAGATTAATAGTGGAATATATATATAAGATGGAATATTATTCATGTGTACAAAAGATGTAGTAGGATATATTATTATAATGTGGATGCACCTTGATACATGCTAAGATGAACACAAAATGTCACATATTGTTTGATTCAGTTTATATTAATATTAAGAATAGGTAAAGTCATGGAGACAGAAAGTTGAATAGTGGCTGCCAGGAACTGAAAGTAGAGGGCAAAGGGAAAGGAGTGCATTATGGGCCTGGATGTCTCCTTTGAGGGTGATGAATATGCTTTGGGTTAGAAAAAGATTATGGATGTACAATACTGTAAAAGCAATAAATACTACTGAATCTTATGCTTTAAAATAAAATATGGGCACATAAATATTTTTCAAATAAAATAAAATTTGTATAAATTTGTTTCAAACTATGCCATGATTAACAATTTTATCTAAAAATTCTATTTCTCATGTTTAGAAATACATTTCCAAAAATCCTAAATTCAATATACTGGAAAAGTATTTTTCTTTAGGAATACAATGAGTTTTGCTCTCAAGAAAACAAACCAAAAAAAAAAGCTGACTTTCTCTAATATTTTGAATTTAGCAACTTAAACATTATTGTTGAATTCTATAAAATATTTTTGAACTATACTTAATTTTTAACCGGAGAGAGAAAAAAGTATTCCATCTTTTTTGCCACCGACTTATATAGCTTCTTTACTTTTTGATCATTGAGAAAAATGACCAGAAAGTAACTGAAATTAATACTTTTTCTAATTATGATGCATGGGGTAAAATTACCCACTTCTATAAAATAAATGTAAAGTTTTCAGCTATTAATTCTAAACCCCTTTACCACTGATGATAACTATAACTGTCTGCATTGACAAATTCAATAATTAGAATTCTCAGCATCAATTAGAAAAAGCACTTATTTACAGGTAAAACAAAAGGAAACAGGAATGGTAAGGAAAGGGGGCAAGTTTCAAGTGTATTATGTAAAGAATTTAGATTTTATGCTCGGATTTTTATTATAAAGTATTATTTGATAATAGTGGGGGTGTGAGGTAATGGGTACAAGTGTAAGAGTTGGCAGGAGTTGGTGGAGATACCATGAAAAGCAGTCTGACAGTTCTTATTATAGTGTTATGTATACTGTCCATAACCAGCAATGCAACTCCTGGGGATTTACCTTAAAAAAAGTTGTAACATAAAAAGCTCTATCCATAGTTGTAAAAAACTAGAAAAGATCCAAATATTCTTCAGCAGATGGATAAACTGTGGTATATTCATACAACAGAGTGCCATTTATTAGGTTGTCAGAAAAGTCATGATGCATTTTTTCTGTTTTTCAAGCAAAAAGTAACAACATGAATAAACCTCAAAGGCATTATACTGAGTGAAAGAAGTCAGTCCCAAAAATTTACAACTGTGTGATTTCATGTATATGGTGTTCTGAAAAAAAGGCAAAGCTATAGAAATGTTGAAAAAAAAAATCCATGGATCAGAGTTTTAGGGATTAGTTAAGATTTGACTACAAAGGAGTAGAACAAGGAGATTTTTTGAAGTGCTAGAAGTAGTTTGTATTCCAATGGGGGTTAGTTACTTGAATCAACTGTAGATGTTATAAGCATGTAACATAATAACCAGCTATATACTATGTTCTATTATGACATATCAATGTCTATTTACATAAATATTAAATTAAATATAGGACACTATGATAAAACTTATCTATGAACTATCCAACCCATAAAACTGTACACTAAAACCCCACTTAATATATATTATAAAAACAAAAAATTCCTACCTTAATCAGTAAACAAACTACATTGAACAAAATATTTCATTTTTTGCTTCAGTGTAGTAGTTTTAGTTCTATTTTTAAAATCACATTTTATTAGAACATTGAACACTGAGTATGTTCCATGTAAGCTCTTTGAAAGCATGAAGTATGAATGATATTCTCAAATCATTCACTTAAAGAGAGCCTATCCTACAACAGTAACTCAAACACATTTATTAACTAAGTAAATGATTCACAAAATAACAGCCCTCTCTATAAAACTTTATTACATGATAGAAAGTTTGTATCAATCACTTTGCACGATTAAGGTTATCAACCCAAACTTTATCTTTATTAAGTTAAGGCTGATTTGAACAATAACTGTTATGAATGGCTTCCACATTAATGAATTTAAACAGATTTCAGGTTTGGGGAGAAATTCACACTATATGAGTTCACATTTAATTCAAAGAGCTATTTGCACTATACTTACATTGATAAACAGACAGGAGTCTAACAACAGTTCCTTTGCATTCTTAAAAAGATTTTAATACTTTTCTTTAGTTTGACTTTATTAATGAATATTAAAATAAACCCCAAAGGCACTACATATAGCTAACCTCTGCCTAAATTGTCTTGAATGCATCAGATCTCACAACTAGTTAGATTAGGATTCTCACCTAATTCACTGTGTCCAAAATTACCTTTAGCTTAAGGAAACAAAAAGATTACCAGAAAAGTATCAATACATGCTACAACATGGGTGAATGTGTTAAATACCAAGGTAAGTGAAATAAGCCTGTCACAATGAACCACATATTACATGATTTCATATATACAGAATCTCCAGAATAGGAAAATCTATAGACACAAAAACTGGATTAGTTGTTATTTAAGCCTAGGGACAGGCAACAAAAGAATAAGAAGTGACAGTTAAATGGTGGTGTGTGCTTTTCTTAGGGGAGATAAAGAGAATGTTCTATAAGTTGACTGGATGCTAAATATACAACTCTCCAGATATACTGAAACCCTTTGAATTATACACTTTACATGGTGAATTATCAAGGAAATCTACTAAATATGTAAACTAATTTTCAAGATAAGAAACTTTATGATCATCAAACATTTAGCACTAACAGAGTCATACTTTTGGAGGCGGTTGGAAGTATACATTTAAATCAGATTTAATTTCCTCAAAAGTATCATGGGAAAAGTGATCTGAAGTTACATGTGCTAGCACACATATCTATAAGAAGATTCTGGTTTACAGCTAAAAATATTCAATGATATTAAATTACATTATGCTATATGACACTAAATCCTAGTCAACATGACTTGAGTGTAAAATAATTCTAAATGAAGAAATACTTAAGCAACAAAAGAGGCTAATTGTGTTGATTTAACTCCTTTTTGTTTAAAAAAATAAGTGCTCTTTCCTTGCTGAGCCGAATATAATGGCCTGTGAATTATAAGATCAAGGAAGGAAGCTATGTGTTTTCTAAAATATGAGTAGCCTCCATCAAGTTTTATACTTAGAGCAGCTAAAATACCTATTGGAAGGATCAGCATTAAGCCCAAAGGACAGGAAATGCACAGCAAGAAAGAAAGCAATTCCCTCCTGCCTTCTACAGGTCACTACCAAGGACCATGTTAGCAGATCCATACCAGACCCTTAACAGGCAGTTCTGCTGCTACCAGTAATTAGCTTGGACAGCTCTGGCTCCAAGAGTAGCAGCAAGGCTACACCATAATGAGCTCAGCTGGGATTAGCAGGACAGGGCAGGGAACCAAGAGAGCTCAGGCATTCTGCATTGCGTATGTATCTAGGAGATCAAACAAGGATGGCTGGCTAGGTTATCCCCTCTCCACCTCATTCCAAAAATGAAGCACGGCAGTGTCTAAAATACAGGCTAATGAAGAGCGACACCTCCAACAGATGAGAGCCACATTAATTAACACAATCCCTAGATCATATTATACAGTTCAGCTAGAACTAGCAAATGCACAACTTGTTATTTCATCAAATACACACACACACACACACATACACTTTTTTTTAAGCTAGTCTTTTTACTTTCATTGGCAAAAAACAGAGTACTTCATTTTCCAATTTTATAAGCTATCTCAAAGCCTTTAAGTCACAAAAACTTTTTCAAATGTTTATATTTAAAGGCTATTTTATTAATAAACAGAAACTCACTTTTGAATCATTAGCTCCTGGTTCTCCCTTTTGAAATGGGCCAGTTCATTCCATACAGCATCAGAATCTTCTTGTGTAAGTTGCTGGGGACCTGCTCTCTTTATTTTTCTGATTTCACTGTTATTTTAAAAATGGAAGTTGCTTTCTTTCTTAATATGTCAGAATGCATGAGCAGTTATTTATACATTCCTCAAAATTGAAAAATATCTTATGACTAAATTTAAAAAATCAATCTATTAGTGAAATTAATATCTTACAACCTAAGTAAGAAATGAAAATCCCATATCATAATTTCCTACATCATAATTTGTTAAGCTGCTACTATGAAAAGAAACCTTTAAAACAGACACATGAATTCTTATTTATTAATCTCATTCATTTTACTAGTAAAATATGTATTATAGGATTGTCACATTTCTAAGAAAGAACTATTAGCAATAAATTCATCTAGAACTTGCTGCCAACCTGTCTGTGTGTGGTATATGCCTTCTTAGACATTTGTCAAGCTATTATATCAGTGATTATGTTAGAAAATAGTAATTTACACTTCCAGTGACAACCAAAAATTTAGGTTATGAGTGGCTACAGTTTTCCAGAACAAATTGCTTTAGTGACAAGCAATCCAAAACACTTACTATTCATCAAAGGAAAAACCTAGATGTGACAATTATCTACAAAACTCTCCAAATACCCTTTACATTTTCATTTTCTGTACATATAACAAATTTTAGTCTTTATTTTGTAAAAGCGCTGCACGGGCCAATTTAGCAACAGCATTTCTCTATAGAATAGACCAATGTGTACCATCAACACTGCCCTAAAGGATCCATCTCAAAAGATGAGAGGGTAGTAGATTTTCTGTACTCATTCAGTCCTTTGCCCTCTGTTGATACTGTTAACAGGGGAGCCACTTACAACTAACCAAGATCTGAACACCTGTTCAGAACAATTGAACTGAGACCGCCAATTCATTCAGATAAGCTGCTGAAAAAAAACTGATGGATAGTAAAGGTTTTCAAATTGCATGCTAGGTGAAAGTTTTCAGACAGTTAACTATATATCTGAATTAAAATTTTCTCATCTTCCAATTAAAACTTAAAAATCTTCCGGGTTATAAATGCTGTAACAACAGAACAATTATTTAAAACTCATCGTAAATCATATGATATAAACCTACTTTGGCTTTACATTTTGCAATTTTATTAAGCTATTCCATTGACATTAAAATATACATAGCATTTCATAATCACCTATGTTAATTTCTGCAAATGACAGGAAAGTCTATCAACTATTACAGGTATATGTTTCTGCTTCCATTTATTATATTATCTTTAAAAGTTCAAAATACTGATTTGTCTAACAAATTATTTCTTTAAAATAAAACAAAAGCCATTAAAACACCTATATGATGCTACTCCATCCCATTTAATATTTAGGGAAATGCTTTTATGAGCTATGTAACTCACATGCCACTGTCTTCTTCCCACTGTTTTAATTGCTCTTTTACTGCTCTGTAGTTGGTCTGTAACATCTGTAGCCTTTCCTTGCGTTTTTCATGGGCATCTCTTAGCTCATCATTTTCTTGGCTCTGTGTAACACAAATAATCAAGTACATAAGTTGAAGAAAGCAGTGGTATAATGTTGAAAATTAAAGATTATCCATTAGTATGAAATTTGAAAGAAAAATATAAAAACAAAAATAAATTTGTAATAATTATTGCAGAAGGAGGAAGAATTCCTAAAGTAAGAGAATAAGTTTCTTTGATAACAATTTAGCCCTTTCATTGTACTTCAAAAGGTGGCCATATAACTTCAAAATTTTACTATCAAATTGATTTTATTCATTTTCCCATTTTTAATTACTATACAAATACTTATGAACCAATCTAATAGATTTTTGTTATATTTTTTCTTTTCTTTTTTTTAATTAACGATTTATTTATTTATGCATATAAGAACTGGGGTACAGGCCAGAGATGCAAGGGTTGAGAAGATTCACCAGAGTCAGAATGAGGAACAGAACAGGCAGATTGACTGAAAAATATACTGCTGAGGAGAGTATGGGGATGAGACAGGAGAGTTCAGCTGCTCCATGTGGGTTAGCTCTCTGGCCAGGGATTGAACTTATGCTGCATGGGCCGTGGACAGCTTTATAGTGCTGAGACTTAATTAACCCCGTGCACCAGCAGGGAGGCCTTCTTGTTTTTTTCTTTTCAACACAAGGATTTTTCCATACATAAATCATGATTACATTACTAGTTAAAAATTACATATATAATAAGACCAGTTTTTTAGTTCAAGGATTTACAACTACTTGTTACAAAACACAAGGATTACACAGAAGGAAGGATATCAGTTTGGAACTATGTTAAAAGTAGCACAGTTTAACATATGGGTTGTACAATGAAGGATAGGAGAGGGAGAATTGGGCTTAGTACACTAAAAGACGTTTAAAAAAAAAACAAAACAGAGGCCCTCCCTGGTGGCGCAGCGGGTTAAAGCACTGAGGCTGAAACCACTTCTGCATAAGTTCGATTCCTGCCTGCCCTGGAGGTGACCACATGGTCACCTGGCCCGCCTGCTGCTCCCCTCAGCAGTGTACTTCATCGATCTGCCTGTTCTACTCCCCACTCTGTCTCTGGTGAAGTCTTTCGCCACCCCTGAGTCTCTGGCCTGTACCCCAGTTCTGTATGCACAAATAAATAAATTAAAAAAAAATAAACAAAACAGAAACCCAAACATAACTAGGTTAACAATAGTGGTCCAAGATGTCTAATGATTTAAATAAGCATATCAACTAAATCTTAATTTCTAGATATAACTATAAAATGAGCTTATATAGATCATATTCTCTGTTTTCAAAGGATGTGGTTATAATACTTGGGTACTGTATCTCTCAAAATAAAACAACTTGAATTTTTTAGCTTTGAGATTTCAAATTTCTTTTTGCATTTTTTATACTTATTTGATATTTAGAGGGTAACTGGTACTAAGCATATTAATGTGGATGAGTAGGAACAAGGCAGACAAAGGTTTAATTTCCACTACTGGTGTTTTTGCCTGTTAGGTATATAAACTTAAACCACTGCTTAAATTAATTCAGTTTTGTCTGTAAAATACAGAAAAGAACCCGTTTAGATTATGATTAGTAAATTAAATTACCTAACATATAGGCATTGTATTTGCACAATAAAGGTATAGAGTAAAAGTTAGCCTCCACCTTTCTCCCCTTCCCAGGTATTATTACTGATGTCCTTAACATTGAGGAGCCAAATTTACTGCTTCCTTAACCATCTAATTTTCCTATCACTGGTAAAAGAATAATTAGTAGAATTTATTTTCATTTACTATAACTGAACCTGCTTCAGCAGTGTGGATATTTTGTCAGTTTACTTTGAATGTTTCTGAAGGATACCTTTAGTAATTCTCTTAAATATTGTTATTATAAAGTACTTGAGGGCACTCCCTGGTGGCGCAGTGGATTAAAGCACAGCACTAAGAAGCTAAAGCCACTTCTGCATGAGTTAGATTCCCACCTGCCCGGGAGGTGACCACATGACGCGGCATGATCCCCCCAGCAGTGTACTTCCTCGATCTGTCCACTCTGTTTCTGGTGAAGCCTCTCACTGCCCCTGAGCCTCTGGCCTGTATCCCAGTTCTGTATGCACAAATAAATAAATCTTAAAAAAAAAAAGGAAGTGGCCCTCCCTGGTGGCGCAGCAGGTTAAAACACAGCACTGAAAAGCTAAAGCCACTTCCTCATGAGTTCGATTCCTGCTTGTCCCAGAGGCTTGTCCCGGAGGTGACCACATGGTGTGGCAGACCTCTCCTGACCCACCCGCTGTTCCCCTCAGCAGTGTACTTCGTGAATCTGCCTGTTCTGCTCCCCACTCTGTCTCTGGGTGAAGCCTCTCACTGCCCCTGAGCCTCTGTCCTGTACCCCAGTTCTGTATGCACAAATAAATAAATCTTTAAATATAATTGCAAAAAACAAACAAAAAAAAGTACTGGAATACACTGTGTACCAAATTGGTATGCAACATGCAATAGGAAAAAAAAAAACATGAAAATGCAGTCATTTAATAGAAGCAATCACCATAAATGTTATCTAAAGACTTTTAGAACTCATACAAAACATAGTTACTGCAAACTTGACAAAAGTAGCATGGTTTATTACCTGGTTAAAAATTCAAAGTACTGAACTTAATTTTGTTCACTTCAATTGAAGAACCAATATTACGAGCAGGGTTTTAAGTACTGATAACAGTTCAAGTCCTGCTGCTCAAAGTTACTAAATTTTAGTTTTGAAAAAAGTACTCATACTCAGTGTCTCAGTTTTTCCATCTCAAAGTAGAAGTTATTTATATCTCTTCTTTAAGACATAAAAGGTAATATAATCTTAACCTTGAGTTTTTCATGTTAACTAGTAGCCAATTCATATATGATTAGACTACTTTAACCAATGAGACATCTAATTTTATGTGAAATAATTTGAATTAACCAAATAGAAAAATTATAATTCATGCTATCTTTTTCATAAATGAACATAAGGTAACATTTTCTAGAAAAGATATACTGGAAATGTAATTAGACTATGCTATAAATTAATATAATAATGTCTAACAAAAATTTGTAGATATTAGAAAAGAACTATGTTCAAACATTAATTTTTAAATAAACTTATAAATGGAAAAATATATTAAATATTTCTAAAATACTTCTCTGTAATTATTCTTAATAATTGAACTGACATATTTCCCCATGAATCCTTATTTAACAATGAGTTTCAACATTCAACGGCAGTGTCTATGTTAGAATAACTAGGAACTGTGAGTAAGCAAGGGCTAAAAGCCCAAGAAGTGAAAATTAACAGAAATATCTAAATTTTTTCTTTAACTATAATAAGTCCTCCTGAATTAATGGAACATATTGAATTTATTATTGTTAGTACTGTCAATATCTTAGCATTTTTCATATTGCTCTTCCATTATTAATCTTTGAATTTATACCCAATATTTTCCCTAATTCTCAAACAGAAGGCAACTAACTATATTATGTTTTGACACCAAAAATTAAGCCTCAATAAAACATTCGGAACAACTTCCTAGGCATTGTAATCAGCATATTAATTAAACAAAACACTCAATGCAGTCAAAATTTTAAGAACTGCTTATACAATTCTTAGAACATTAATGAAATCCAAAACATTAAAAATATAATAATATTAAAGTCTTCTGACTTCTAAAGGAGTATTCACCTGAAGATGCCATTGTAGTTTAGTTAAGGTCAAAGAAATAATGATCACCCATTTAAAATGTGAATTATCTAATCTCAAAGATTGTAATACATTGACTAGGTTTTTCATGACTCATTTTTTAAATACTTTATTACTTTGGTAAATGGAATTATATGCCATTTAAAAGTGTCATAATTCATGAGCTATTTTTCTTCCTTACAAAAAGTGTAAGTTAAAAATCTGTCCCTTTACCAATGAAATGTGATGCTTAAAAATTAAATTGTCTAGGCCCTCCCTGGTGGCACAGCAGGTTAAAGCACTGTACTAAGAAGCTAAAGCCACTTCTGCATGAGTTTGATCCCCGCCTGCCCTGGAGGTGATCCACATGGCGTGGCAGACCTCTCCAGACCCACCAGCAGCTCCCCTCAGCAGTCGGACTGTTCTGCTCTCCACTCTGTCTCTGGTGAATCCTCTCACTGCCCCTGCACCTCTGGCCTGTACCTCAGTTCTGTATGCACAAATAAATAAATATTTTTAAAAAAATTAAATTGTCTAAATATTGAGGAATTTTAAAATTACTTAAATATAGAAATATACCATGTAGAGAAAGATACACACATATATATATATTTAAGAATAATCTAGAGCCAATAAATTTCAAGATTCAAAAGAATATTTAATGATAAGAGAAAATATTCATGATGCCTTAAGCCTTAAAAGGTGGTTAAATGGGAGTAAAAAATAAACCAAATTATAGATTACTTGACAAATCAATTTGATAGACATAATTTATAATAATTTTATTTTTAAAAGCAGTTTCTTTCATAGATTCATTCTTCAGATATTGACATTAAATTAAACATAGATTACATTATTCCTAAAGACTTAATATTTTGGACTACTTCAAAACAGTAAATTTCATAAAAATCAAAATGTAAGTATATGTTACATAGTTCAAAGAAAAGCATTTTCTCTATTTGATAGCAAAACTAGATGTTGACTAAAGTCTATAATCAAAAGGTGAATATAATCAAAAGGTTTTAAAAGAATGAACAAAACTTTTTTGTAATATTCTAACTACTAGTCAACTGTAATTAGGATTAAGTCCAATTTGACTTATAGCCTATCTCAAAATAACAGTATGTCATGAGAAAGTATTACACCCAAAAATTTTACACAAAGTAAAATGTAAAGAGCTACAAATACATTTAACATCACTAATTAACACATATTCCTAAAAGGATAGATATTCAAAAGCACCCCATAAACTGTAATTCAATGAGGTGCATTTATTAACTCATTCAATAAAACATTTACTTAGGACCTACTAATAATTTTGCAATGAAGCTAGATAAAAGAGAGTTTCCAGTTTATATATACAAGTAAGAAAACTAAAGTATCAGAAAACTAAAAATAGGAAATTTTTATGGATAAACTCCCTCAATTATAGTTGCAATTCTATTTTTGAGTTCCTAAAAACAGATGCAATTTTTGACATTACTTTTGGTTTGTCAAAAGCTCCTTGACAGGCACAAGGCAAAATAAGAATATGAACAAATGTAAAAAAACATGATTCAATCTTCTAGATTTAAAAAATAAAGAAACTTCCAAAGATTCTACAGATGTTTAATTTCAGCACAATGGATCAACTATATGAATATTAGAGCACTGAAAATTAAAGACAAAACTATATTCAAAGGACATATTAAATAAATAAATGTTAAAGAAAAATGCTAACAGCATCAAGTTGCCAAATGCATGAACATAAATAAACCAGGGATTCATGGCATCAGCAATCTCAAGGAGAAAAGCATTACACAAAGCTTTAATGGACTGATTTCAAAATTACACTGTGTAAGTTGATAATTCACTCTATTCATGAGGTTGATTTGAGAATGGATAGCTTTCATCTCTCCTTTTACTATTATTGGTTTGGTTCTTTTATTACATTGGTCTCTAATGTACTATTGGTCATAAAAGTTAAGTTAAACAAGATAATGCATTCATATTTGTACAAAATTCATATAATTTGTATAAAACTCATAGAATTAGAATAATATGCATGACTTAACTGCTCTTATAATAAAGAGCATAATCTCAATGTATGAAATATATATGTGTGTGTATATATATATATATATGTATGTATATGTATGAAATGTATTTATAAGTTCCATAAACTACTAGTGAAACTTATTTGTCCCTTATTTCAATTCCCTTTGGTCATTAATTTGGAACCTTAAAGCTACCTATATGTCATGGAGCATGCCTTTTGTCTTTGTTTAGTATGTCCAACAGTATCTTGCACAGAACAAATGTCTTTAGGAAATATTAATAGGTATGATATACTCAAGAAAATAAGATATCCAAGACTTTCTGTAGAGTCACAAAATATATTGCTAGGATAAAGTCTCACAAAAACTAAAGTTTTTAATCCACTGTTTGCAATAATTGAGGGTAGAACATCTTTGCCCTGTTCTCATTATACACATACTTATGGGTAATGGTATACAAAAGGAGAAAGATAATCAGATGTATTTCTAAAACTATTTAAAAGGGCCCTCCTTGGTGGCACAGCGGTTTAAAGCACTGCACTAAGAAGCTTAAGCCAATTCCGCATGAGTTTGATCCCCGCCTGCCCCGAAAAGATCCGCCTGCCCGGGAAGAGATCCACATGGTGTGGCAGACCTCTCCTGACCCACCCGCTGCTCCCCTCAGCAGTGTACTTCGTGGATCTGCGTGTTCTGCTCCCCACTCTGTTCCTGGTGAATCCTCTCACCTTCCACATATCTGGCCTGTACCCCAGTTCTGTATGAATAAATAAATCTTTAAAAAAAAAACTATTTAAAAAACTGCTATAGTTAAAATGAACTTCCCAACCCCAATAAAAGGTGGTCCTAACCTCCACTATCTCTGAAAGAGATTGGGCACAGTGCTATTAAAGAGGTGAAAAATGTTTAATGAAATCATTTAGGGTGGACTCCAATCCTATGATTGCTGTCTTCATAAAAAAAAGAGAGAGAGAGAGAAATTTAGAGATGTTAGGTAAAGAGAGGAAAATAAAGGGGGCAATGATGTAAAAGCACAGTGAAAATACCAAGGAATGCCTGAGGCTACCAGGGAGAAATGAAACAGATTCTGCCTCACAAGTTCAGAAGAAACCAACCCTGTTGACACTTTTATTTCAGAAGGACTTTAAGATAATTAATTTGTTCTTCTAGGACAGATAGTTTCTTGTAGCTTGTCAGGGCAGCTCTAAGAAACTAAAGGAGACACATCATTAATTTTTATCTTGTCTTACACTTACATGCATTTTAGACAGGACAAAAATATGAATATGATAGAACAGAGAAAGAGGCCTTTCGCCTTTACTAAGACAGTTATACTTACTAAACTTATCACTAAGCAATCATATAGGATTGGGATCCATCCTAAATTTATTTAACAGCACTCTAGTCCTAATCACTCTCCTTAGGGTTGCTTTACTATACAGGTTTGGTTTACTCAAATCTTTGACAATCTTCCTGTTACACTGCCTTTTTCAACCAACTACTTTCCTTGTTAATATATGAAATTTTCTCCTATTAAGTGAAAAAATGTAAGGAAAAATATGCACCCATTTTTCCTTGTTTTGAAAAAAATCTGTGAAAAAAACCATACATTTAAACTTCATGATTATCATCACTTAATTTGAACAAATACAAAAAAAGGTAAAATGACATTATGTAAAAAGAATTTTACTCTGCAAATAAACTTGAGGCTTCATGCAAGAGAGCTGTTCTAGAGGAAAATGAATGAGGAAATAAATTACTTTTGAATCAAGGATTCAAATGTAAAACTACAAATGTCTCAATTGCACTAATCTTTTCTGTCAAAAACAAGAGAATATGAAGACATATTACTGGGATCAAATGACTGGAGATCTACTACTGCATGGATTCATGATGATTAACTTGTGTACAAACTTGACTGTCCAGATATTTGGTTAATCATTAATTTTGAGTATACCTATATGAGATTAACATTAGAATCAGTAATGAGTAAAACTGTTGCCCACCCCAGCAGATTGTAGAGTCTCTGGAGAACTCAGTTTAATATACAGGTCTGGGTATGAGAATCTCAAGTTTTACGCAAAAGGAGTAAGATAGACTGTTTTCCTAAACATGCCCATAATATTTTACCCGCATCTTCACATTTACACTAATACATCAGATTCTAACTAATTAGTATTGTCTTTTTTTTTTTTTAAAGATTTATTTATTTGTGCATACAGAACTGGGGTACAGGCTAGAGGCTCAGGGGCGGCGAGAGGCTTCACCAGAGACAGAGTGGGGAGCAGAACAGGCAGATCCACGAAGTACACTGCTGAGGGGAGCAGTGGGCGGGTCAGGAGAGGTCTGCCACGCCATGTGGTCACCTCCAGGGCAGGAGGGGATCGAACTCATGCGGAAGTGGCTTTAGCTTTTCAGTGCTGCGCTTTAACCTGCTGTGCCACCAGGGAGGGCCTAATCAATATTGTCTTAACAAAAGAATAGGGTCCTGAATGATAGGAACTCAATGAGTTCCTTATTGAATTCCTCATTGGAGTTATTTCCTCCTGTTATACAAAAATGATAAATACAATGTTTAGTTAATTTTCAGTAAATTCTCTTATTTTTCAGTAAGTTCTCATTGAGTCAAAAAATGAGAGCGCAAATAACTCCAAGTGTATAATTTATCAAGTAGGTTAAATACTAACAATTTGAGGTCATCTAATCATTTTGAGTAGAAACAATAGATGAAATTTTCCTTTGTTTAACTTTGAATAAATATAAATTAAAAGTGTTAAATGAAAAAAACAGAAAAATTAATAATAATGGTATATGTTTATACCTCTCAGCCATATTTTGCTCTAGAGCTGACATAATTCAACTCAGAGCTTTTCCACAAATAATCTAAGTTGTAAGTATACTGTATTTAAATCATGTGAAGCATCACGCTTTCAAAATGTCATTAAAAACACTGAGATTCGGGCCCTCCCTGGTGGAGCAGCGGGTTAAAGCACAGCACTGAGAATCTAAAGCCGCTTCCGCATGAGTTCGATTCCCGCCTGCCCCGGAAGGGACCACATGGCGTGGCAGACCTCTCCTGACCCGCCCGCTGCTCCCCTCAGCAGTGTACTTCGTCGATCTGCCTGTTCTGTTCCCCACTCTGTCTCTGGTGAAGTCTCTCGCCGCTCCTGAACCTCTGGCCTGTACCCCAGTTCTGTATGCACAAATAAATAAATCTTTACAAAAAAAAAAAAAAACACTGAGATTCAATTTAATGGCTAGCTCTTAAATAATCAGGCTTTTGGTAATCAAAAAGTAAGAATGACCAATTCAGAGAAAGAATAATTAAAAGCCTAGATAGAATAACATAAAATTAATTCAATATACACACCAACTGCTAAGAAAAGGAAGTATAATTTGGAGAGTATAAACTCTTAAAGGCAGACTGATTAAAAAGGTTTATGATGTTAAATATTGGTAGAATAAAATTCTCATGTTACATGCTCTAGGACAAATTCAGCTGAAGTGGAAAAAATGATGCATATTCATCTGCCAGTTTAACTTAGTGAATTTTTTATAAAGGACAATTATAAGTGACCTGAAAGTACCTTAGCAGAGTTTTAAACTCACCTATTTTATTATATATAAAAAACACATAACAAATTCTCTTTCCACTTTCTATCTTTCTACTTTCCCTCTTTGAGAAACTATAAGAAATTTATTCCCTATGTTTAGCATAAATATTCCCAAATAACTTTAAATATTTAGTTTTCACATAGCAAATTTATTATATTGTTATCTTCAGAAAATTTAAAAATAAGACAAACTGATTACACATTTTTATACATGTAATTAAATTCTGGAGAGAAATGATAAGCAGCAAGTTGTAAAATAAATGTGTTTAATTTGCTATATCTTTGCAAGGTTATTACTACAGATATCTCTTAATGTTCACCTTTAGTTGTAGTGCTTTCTCTAAGTTTTCAATCTTTCTTTCAGCTTTTCTTAGCTTCCTTAGCTCCTCTGAGTCTGTGAAAGAGCTCCTTGGGGACAAAGACCTTGAACGTTTCACAGGTGGTTCCTCGAGAATAAAAAACAAGGACATGGTTGAACTAGTTGGAACAGTGGATTATGAAAGACATGCAAAATTAAAGAACAAGTAATTTTGAATACTAATAATGAATTATAAAAAAAAAAAATCCTGCATGGAATACCAGAGAAATAACAAGCAGAATTACCACAGTGCTACCGCTAAAGGTTTCTCTGTGACTCGTTAATGAGAATATTCATTTACATTTACATTGTTTCTTTCAGAATAATGATGTCCCATTAGGGAAGACTAAAGGGTTATAGACTCAGAAATGCAAGAAACCTCATTACAAAGGAGGGGATAGAGGCTGATCTAATTGCTCTATAAGGGTCCAAGGTTACACTTGATAGGACAACCAGAAACAAGAGGGAAAGGATTTTTTTCCCTTTGAAATAGTTTAACACACTGTGAAGATGAAGGAACAATATGCTTGAGGAATATAAATACAACAGACAGTACATCTTATACCATAATGACCATATGGTCATTAACTATAATGTGGCTAACTAGAGACAAGAATGTGTGTTTATATTATGTACAGCTTCATATACCAATCTGGAGAAAGAATATGTGAAAGCAACTATTAAAGCTGGGCAACATATTGTTCATACTTCATGTCCTTATGAAAAAGAAAGAAAATTTTGTTCAAAATATAGCTCATATCCTAGACTTTTGCTAAAGGCAATGAAACACCAAGGCAGTACATTTTAAACTTAAGGAAAAACAGTAAGCAACAAAATTAGGCCCTATAATATCTCTCAATTTCAGAAATGCTTTATTTAAATAAAGTAGCCCAATGTTGAGAAAATTACTCCAAAAGGGCAAGAAATATAATTATAATACAGTTATCCTACACATACACACACACACACACAAAGCCCCTTTTTCGGAATATTACTAATAATACTTTGGGAAATAAATACAAGTGTCACTGAAAGGTGTGTCTAATTTTTCTTCCTTTTTCTTCTGTTATATTCATAGGATAAAATGGAAAGAACTAAAAGCAATCATTTTCAAACCATGTTTCTCTACACTAAAAAAAAATATTATTATTCTCTACTGCTGAAGAAACAAGTATGAGAAAAAATGTCTGAACTACCTAGTTTCAGGGAAATGTTATTTCAACTGATCTAGAAATAACATACAGAAGTTTTATATTAGTCAATGTTTATAGAACATTTTCCAATGTAGTATGAATAGGTAATGAGTACTACATAAAGGAAAAGCTGAGACATCAATAAGCAAGAAACATACTATAAAACATTTTTTATTATTTCTATTGCCTTAACTTTAAATCTCAATATATACATAACTTTAAAAATTCATGTTAAATGCTACTTTGTGATTTATATTCCCCATAAGCAATATCTTACATAGCATAGTTTAACAAAATAGAAACATAAAGTTATAATTTTTCTTTTAAATAAATTTAAACATTAAGTGACTAATACCACTTAAAAATGAATCGTATACTTAGACAAACTTACTACAGAGATGAGGAATATTTACCTAAACTTTAATAGAAGAATTTTAACTTGCTGGAATATATGTGTACTACTACTATATAATTAATTTAATTAGGAATATATTACTCAATCTTTAAAGAGGGAAAACACTTTACACCCCAAAATTATTTTATTAAGCTTTATTAAAAAGTTTCTAGAAATCTAAGCAAAGAAATGCTAGTGTTCATTTTTTAACTCCTCTGTCACTTGGTTTGCCAGCCTCATCATGAAACAGTCCACAAGATGATAAAATGTCCCTACCTTATGTTTTCCTTTAGTATTTGTCAAAATGCTCTTTTCTGATGAACTCTGGTTGATAAACATGTTCTCTGAAAGTTTTTCATTTGCTATTTTCAATTTCTCCTGTAAATACTCAATTTCTGACTTCTGTGAGACCATTAAGGTTTCTAAGCTAGATAACGATGGCTGTTGAGATACCTATTTAAAGAAATATAAGTTTATATGTACAATGAAATATATACAAATATAGTTACATCTTATGCTATTTATGTGCAAACATGTAGATTATAAATCCTCAGAAAAATTTCATTTCAATATATTAAAAACTAGCATTAGCTAAACTCTATCATCCTGACATAAGAGCTTTTTAGTAAGATAACCATATCTGCAAAAATATTTTCAGAAGTAATATCATCAAAACTTTTGCAGGAGAAAAAAATTTTAACATAGCTACATGGTACACACGATTCATCTGTAAGTGAAATTTATGGCTTTATCCATATGCACTTCATGAAATATTTAATTCATTATCTGATGATTCAAGAGTTATACAAACCTCTTAAGATAAAAATGGGGGGGAGGGGAACTAATAGCACTATTTGTCTAGTTAACTTTTAATGTATCATGTTAATAACATCTCAAGTAACTGACATTTTTAAAAGTCAACAGAAATTTGAAATTTACTCCTGTTGATGAACTGCTAATGGTTATACAATTTTTACAGAATCCACAAAAAAAACTAAGTTGTAGGAATCTGTTCACAAACATTAACTTTGTATAAAATTCTATTTTGACTAAATATATTTGACTGTTAAAGTCTATGCATATAGAGCTATTTCAAACTAACTGCTCCATTTAAAAAAAAACAAAAAACACTATATCACAGTGAAACAAAATTTTGATTAACAAAGAAAAGTCAAATCTTACAATTTTAATATTTTTAATATGGCTGCATTAGTCCTGAAAAATTTTCATTAAAAATGCAGAAGATTCCATTCTTCCTAAATGGTAGTGCCATAGTTTCTTTTGTATAATGAGAGGATTAGCTTTGATTTATGCTGTTAATACTTTCCTCAAATCTATATCTGATTTATTTCCCAACTTTTATTCTATCACACTAGCAAATATTATCCTCAGAATGTTGTTTATATTGTAGTTATCCACTTATAGACACTAAAATATTTAACTCCATTACTTACCTTTGGACATCCAACCAAATTTATTTTTTGTCCAGAACTTTGCCCTATTCTTGTCCCCTCCATTTAATTAATGTATAATTATTATTGCTTTATCTTTCCTACTTTGTGAACAAAGTTAATGTTTACAGGTATTTCCTTTGATTGAGCTGTCAATCTAAACAGTTTCAAATCTACTCATTTGTTTCAATGAGTAGAATCATTGAATATATATATATATATCATATGTATATGAATATATATATATCATAAAGGATATATTAACGTTCTATCATTTACCAATGAAAATTTAAATAAATTGTTTGAAGTCAAATAAAATTTTCAATAAAGCAGCAGAAAAAGCTTTAGTTTATCAGTGTATCCAATAAGCAATCCTGAGTCATCATTAGGTTATAATTCAAGCATGCATGAAGACATTTAAAATGTGTCAATAGTAGGTTTTAGTCACTAAAATACTAAGAATTCATAACTGAAATCTGAAATTCCTGAATAAACAATAACCTAACTAAAATTAAAATACTATAAAATGAGTGATGGAATCATTTTCAAATAGGAACCAGAAAGAAAAGTAAAATGTGCTTAGCTGAACGTCAGAATTTGTTCAACAGATACTCTGAAGACATATTAAATGTGTGGACATATTCCTCACCTTCACAAGGAATAATAACACTTTAAAAAGTGTTAATTTCTCTTTTGCCTCTTATCTACTTTTGACACATGAAATATTTCATATTTCTCTATGACCATTTTAAAAAATTAAAATTGAAAGTGAAATGCCAAACCATACACAGCCTCATTGTTGAAGAGAGTATTTGTGGGAGTAGTACTCAGTTTCAGCCAATTGTTTTCACAGAAGAATGTGACCCACTCCTGCCAACTCTAATTTTTCAAAGCAAGTAATGAATTAGGATTGCTAAGTGAAATCACCTAATTTCAGAATGTTGGCCAAATTCAGTTCAGCACTATTGTGCTTAGAGCATATGGTAGTGAACATATAAACTGCTACAAATTTTCTAAAGAAATCTTGAAATACCCATTAAAGCATATAAACAATGTATTAACTATGTTGAGGGTTGACACAGAGAGATGAAATAATGAAATTTAAGTGAGAAAATCAGTTATAGCAGTTACAGAATGTACAGCAACAGTATACAGAAATAGATTTCACCAAATATGTGTAGGGAAAAAATAACCTATAAACCTACATATTATAGAATTGTTACTAAACTCAAAATATCTTAAATATCTTAGAATATCTTAAAATATTTTAGAAAACATTTAAAATAATGAACATGTCATTGCTTACAAAATAATCTTTTTTTTTTTTTGCAAGTAACAGGAATAAAAGGTGAAATCCCTGAGTTTGCTAATATTAGACTTGGGGATATATTACCCATATTTTGAAAAAAAAAAATTTAATTTACCCCCTTTGCCCAGCTTATTATTCATTTACAGAAAAAGGAGCTGATACTATAGCGAGTTCTCTTATATCTTCCCTAAACTCCTACACAACCTCTTATTAACATTTTAAATTAAAATGGCACATGTGTTACAATTAATGAGCCAAAATTCATGTTACTTTTAATCAAAACCCAGTTTGTTCAATATTCTATAGTTTTTATGTTGTCCTTTTTCTATTTTAGAATCCAGGATACAATATTACATACAGTTAACTTGTCAGCAACTCTTCACTGTGACAGACTGTCACTTTCCTTGTATTTTATGACACTGACAGTTTTGATTTTTGAGGAATACTATTCAGGTATACAGCAGATGACCCTCTGATAGAATTTCTCTATTTTTCCTTTTCTTTTTGTGATTAGACTGGGGCTGTGTTTTGAGGAAGTTGTTTACAGAAATGTCACTCTCATATCAACAGAATGTATTTTCAATTTGATTTGACTATTGAAGCTAAAATTATGCTTATCACATTATTCCACTATAAAGTTATCTTTTTATCTCCCACCCATACTATATATCCTCAACTTATTTTTTAAACTTAGTAATTAAATATTAGCATTTTATGTACAAAAACATATATGAGAATATATGTGTATCGTCATATATCTTTATATATAAATGTTCCATTACAGGTTTGCCAAGACCATCAATCCCCCTGTATGTCAAATTTCATTCTATCCATTGTGCTTAAAATCCTAGAATCTTTGAAAAGTTGACTTTTGCTGAGAACTACTAGAATTTCACAAATAATTTTTTCTCTAATATTAAAAATTCATGTCTACTTTTTTAGCTTACAATCTTGAAAGATAATGGAAACCATGGAGTAGAAAGGAAGAGGTGGGAGTCTTTAAGTATTGTGCCAACTATTATTTTAAAAATTATATAACTTAAATATCTAGTCATATAACATTCTCAAGCATCATTGTTTAATATTATTATGGTGGAGGCTGAGTGAATACTTCCTAATAAGGAGAAAACTGTTTTATAACTATAACAGCTGTGAAAATACTATGTTAAAGTATTTATCTTACTAGTAGTTACAATAAAATACATTACCATGTTTTCTACCATACTAAAATAATAACTAGAATAAGTGAAAAAGTATTGACTTCTTACCTCTAGTTAAGTATTTCATATATACTGGACCAATTATTTTAAGAAATTTACAAATTGCAAACCTGTCAACAATATAACAGGTTACACAACAAAAACATCTAAAATCCTCCAAACACTTTTCCAAATATCTCATTGAAAATCAAATATAAATCAAACATGTGTATACATTTAAAATACTTAACAAATGTGTATATAAGATATTTAAACTACAGACATATGTATTATAGAAATGAACATCTTGAAGGAATATTCTTTGATAATTCAAATCTACATAAAGCATGTAAATGAATATACATGTGTATACAAGGATAATAAAGTTACATATAATTTTATGCTCATAAAATAACTGAATCTCAGCAGAAATGACATTTTATTTAAAATCAATTTTATTTAAAATCAACTTTAGAAATACAGATATATATAGACTAGTTATGAAACATTTCTAACTGAATCACCCATAAGCTAATAATGAAGACTTTTCTTTGTTCCAGAAAAAAAGAAAAATATCCAATCAACGTATCAAGTAAAAATTCTTATCACAAGCAGAAGTACAGGAGACTAAACTTATACCTCATTTCTAGAAATAGTATGAATTTGAGTAATTAATGTCTAATATCTCTAATATCTCAGCTAGGTTTTTTTTCTTAAACATATGCATTTGTATTTCTTCTATCTACTCACTTTATCCTGAATACCCTCAGATTTCATTTGAGATCACAAAATATTCCAAACTTATTTACTACATTTAGATAAAATTTAAACTATTACCATCTCCTCTCATAAACATTATCCTAATCTTACATAAGATTCAGTACTATAGTTAATCAAATGAAACTTTCCTTTAAGATCTATAAATGACTGTGTAATACAAGTTGGAGAAGAGCACAGTTTAAAATAAGAATTTAATGCCATTAGCCTATAAAATATACAGTGTAAAGCTTACCAATGAATAGGTTATAAATATATGTTTTATTGGCTATGGTCATATCAAGGGGATGACAACACCATCTTTTACAAAGTTGAGCCATTACAAGTTAAATTGCTTCTTCTATAACAAGTATCATACTGCACTAAAAAAAATTAGTGGTATTATATATCACAGATGTGTTTATGGTGTTAGCTCTGTAATACACATATTGACTATAGATTTTAACCCCAAGAGTAAACTAATTGTAAACTTACTAAAAAATTACATTAAAAAAGTGATTTTTCTACAGATGTTTTATGCTAAATTGGAAAACTGAACACAACAGGGTTTTCCAAACATTGTACTGCTCCATATCCTGCCAAAATTTGCAAATCTAAATATTTAAAGTATACTTGCTAGTGTAATTCAGTATATCCCGAGATATGTGACTTCCTGATGCAATACATTACCTATTATAATGCATACCTAAGTTTTATAAACATATGACACTTATGTCA